TACAGACCGCGAAGAAAAAAGACGGCTATAGGGCGACGTATAACCGACCATGCTTTTGAGTATCACAAATATGTTATATTAAATCAGTTTATAGTAAGTATTACAATAAAATTTGCTTCAAATGCGTTAAATTTATAATAATAATAAAAACGTTTATTTGACTCAAATTATATAAATAACTTATTGTATTACATAAAGATGACTATGTACCAAATTATAAAAACATTAATTAGATACCTGTCGAAAAAACAACACTTTACGTACTATTAGTATTTTTTCGCATTTTTACGGAGCTCTGCGGCATTTTGACTTTTCATCGGTCCGCGCGTGACTGTAAACCAAGAATTGCTTGAATAAAGTTTCAAGCACTTCTTGATTGGGACACATTTTGAGCGCTCGTGGTCTATCTAGGGTATTTAATATCGTTAATTCCATGTCTTTATCTAGGTCATAAAGTATGCGCACTTAATTTCATACAAATCGGTTTAATCGTGTAATAGTAACAAACATCCATACAAATTTTCGGGTTTAAAATTTTAGTACGATATGATTAAAAACTGTTGGTTGTATACTCATGATATCTGTTATTGTATACGATGAAATAAATAGTTTTTATTTATTTTTTCTATTTCCGTAGCTGACAAACTTATCGATAAACTTACGGGTACAGACATGAGCTGCGTCAAGTCACTAGCAATACACGTGCCGGTGTGAGAGCGGAATAGCATATATGATGTAGCGCATGCGAGAAAGGGATAGTGTTAAAAGACATCAACGCGTTCACCAAAAAATAAATACAATTAAAAGCAATTTCATATAAGAGTATTTTTGTCTTTTTGTAATGCATTTAAACTTACCGGAGAAAAGAAATACCATCTTTTTGAAGACTGGAAGTTTTACTCCACTTTCCACATAATTTAATTGCACAGTACGGCATTTTTTCTAGTTTTTTAACGCAAAAACGAGAGAAGCACTTCTGCTAACGCTCGGCTTCGGAATGAAACGATGTATAGCGACGTCTGTGGGCGTGTCTCACGCATACGTAATATACTACTTAAGCTTGGCGTAAGCGCTTGCCCTTGTATGCGGACTCTAGTGGGGGTGCTCCATGGGTACGACTGTATGAAGCTCGCACGGATCGAGACGAACTGCTCCGAAAACAGGCGAATACGTAAGCAGCTGTTTGTGAGAAAGTATATAGGTATCTATCATCTATGTACAACAGTGAATAGCTGTACGCGTAAAATTTGTGTATAAGGTGATTTAAATATGTTTTCTTATCGGTCACCACGCTCAAAAAGTGTAACTTGAATTAATATCAAAGAAAGCAATATAGTAGAAGATCCGAACTAAAAACGATCTTCACCGAGCTGATAATAGAATGAATCATATTTTATAACAAATTTAGTATGTTAGAAAATATGTTGAAAATGGGTTGCCTAAAAAAATCCTAGACAGACAATTTTTAATTATTTAAAAAAAATGATTTATTTTTTTATTTTTGCAACATCAAGATAATAAGAAAATTTTTACCCTGACTTAAAGTATGAAACGTATAGAATGTGCAGCCGTTGGGTTGCCTATTATTTACCTGGACAAACTACTCGGTTGTCAGGTATAAACAGGTATGTCGATGCCAGTTACCTTCACTCGATTAGATAATCGAAAAAATTTTATATCAATATGAGCGTTGTTTTATTGCGAACACGGTGATATAGGGTTGTCTGCAAAAAACTTGGTCCTAATAGGGGTTTGCGAATTTTGAAGATTTTAATTTTAACGCGAGTGGAAATGTGTGACAGAGAGATCCGAATTGAGTATAGCGTGTAATAATAAAGGAGACAACATGGCACAACTGACATTTAAGTTGTAAATAATAATAATTATAATAATATTATAATACTAAAATATTTAACAATAAAACCTCAATTAAATAAATTAATAAATATATATAAATGAATTTACTTATTGACTTATAAGTATCATTATATATTTATACAAGTTTTTGTAACTCAAAATATAATGACATAAATAATACAAATATCAATACTTTGAAATTTTTTTTTCTCTTTCTGGAAAAAATTATGAGAAACAAAGTGGACAGCCGAAAATTCAAATTCATGGATAAAAAAAAATAGACTAAAAATCTTGTATTACGTTTGAAAATTTTATTAATAAACAGCATAAATACAAAAATAATATCAATAAAAAATAAATTGTAATAAATATTTTCTTTTCTATATCTGATTCATCAGAAGTATAATTTTGATTCTCGAATTCATCTGACTCATTATTAGCTGCTTCTTCAATTTCTTCCATTTCGACAATGTCCTGGATTTTCAAAGGATCTCTGATAAAACCAGTTGGTTTTAAAAAATCATCTAAATGCCAACCGTAGCTTTCGGGGTTTAATTTCGCACATACAGCATCAGTTGCATTAAGCCACATAGAATTTACATATATAGTTCTTAAAAAAATTTGTAGCAGGGAAATTCAACATGGCGGTATAAAGTTGGAATCGCCATACATTTTTGCTGTAAACTCTTGAACAGCTTTCATTTTTTCATTAATAAAAATATCAGCTTCATCAGTTAATGAAGCAAAAATAGTTTGATACGTCTCATTTTTAGAAAATATTTTAAATGGTCTAATTTTTCCTTTATTATAAAATGCCGCAGTGTAATCACAACATGTGAATGCGTGAAAAGCATCAAAATTTGACATGATAAAAATTAATTTTTTCATGTCAAATGAAAACCTGTTTGTGAATTATCTATTTATATATTTTTTTTAATTTTTAAGAAATATTTTCTTCATTTTTTATTAGCATCTATTTAAATAAATACCAAAACATTTCTGTACCTCATCCAAATCCGTAGAAGGCATTACTTTCTTCACCCTTAGTAGCTGCTTCACTAGAATGGACACTAGAATGTAGGCTTTCTGTACCTTCATCAGCAATAGAAGTATAGATCTGCTTCTAAAAGTAATTTTTTGTATATAACGTTGATATTTGAAATTTTCTTTTTATGGAAAACTGTATTTATATCAATAATACTTTTTTTGTCAAATTTTATTCGAGAAAATTATTAAGAAAAGTAATAAAAACTGAAAGAAAATAGAAACTGGAAAAAAACGAGCGAGAGATCTTTCAACAAAATAGTTTTTTAGACAATGAATTTGATAGAAATGATTGCTCATTAGATAAAAATAAATATTCAACGAACGTCAAAACTATACGATTTCTAATTGTATTAGATAATAATTGAAAGAATAATATACTATATACTTACTGCATACTCTGTACAAAAAACTCCAAATTCTTCATTGTATTTATTGCCTAAAACAGTTACTTTTTTGTAACACGTGGTGTGGTAACCAACAAAATCGAGAACTGCTTCAGTTAGTTCAATGTTATGATATTTAAAGTTTTTTTTTTACGAAAAGCTAACTTTAACGAGCACTTTTTGAAAGTTTCATTAGTAAAATCACTTAAAGAATTGTCCGAACAAAATAACACGTGTTGCGACTCCAAATAACGCTCACTGTTTACTAGAGTATCGCTGTCATTCTCTGTCATATGACTACCGAGCGTGCGCACTTTCTGATATTCGAGGTCCCATTACATGCGACTGCCATGTTGTGTCCTTTATTATTACACGCTATACTCAATTCGGCTCTCTGTCACACATTTCCACTCGCGTTAAAATTAAAATCTTCAAAATTCGCAAACCCCTATTAGGACCAAGTTTTTTGCAGACAACCCTATATCACCGTGTTCGCAATAAAACAATGCTCATATTGATATAAAATTTTTTCGATTATCTAATCGAGTGAAGGTAACTGGCATCGACATACCTGTTTATACCTGACAACCGAGTAGTTTGTCCAGGTAAATAATAGGCAACCCAACGGCTGCACATTCTATACGTTTCATACTTTAAGTCATGGTAAAAATTTTCTTATTATCTTGATGTTGCAAAAATAAAAAAATAAATCATTTTTTTTAAATAATTAAAAATTGTCTGTCCAGGATTTTTTAAGGCAACCCATTTTCAACATATTTTCTAACATACTAAATTTGTTATAAAATATGATTCATTCTATTATCAGCTCGGTGAAGATCGTTTTTAGTTCGGATCTTAGACTAATAGCTTTACCGTGGCAGGCCTCGAGTGCCACACGTATTTTTTTTATTTATCTTTGTAATAAACCCATACAGTCAATGCCTTTTTCCCAATGTAGTGTTAGCTTATTGATGCCCTTTTTGAAAAAGTCTGCTAGACGGGAGGCAAAAAAATCATCAAAGGCATTTAGAACTGCCTCTCGATTTTTGAATCTTTTCTCAGCTATTAAGTTATTCAAATTCTTGAAAACAGAAGTCTGTATGGACTAGGTCTGGTGAGTACGGAGAACGGATGACGGAGAACTTCCAACCCCAGCTCTTGTAATTTGGAGACCGTCTGCTGTGCAGTATGAGTTCGCGCGTTGTCGTGCAGGAGCAGCAAAACCGAACGATTGACCAAAGCTGGTTGGTGATGTCTCCGTCATTGTGTTCAGTTCTTTTCAGTACACATCTGCAGTAATACCCATCCCGTTTTGTAAGATGCTATGATGAATGACACCGGTGCTAGACCACTAATTCAGCCGTAGATTGAGAATCATCAGTTTCCACAATCGCCTTTAATTCGCCATTGTCTACTAAAGGTTGTTTCGGTCGACTTCGAGATTCTTCGTAGGTCGGAATTTCCAGAACTGAAGCGGGCAAATCAATAACCAGTGGTAAGATCGTTAATAATGTTCGTCGATGATGTTGCGTGCCGCTTCTGCCGCGATGATGAAAAATGCGCTGAAAACAGAACGCTAACCATTACACAAATGACTAATATTCAAACGACAATTCCGTATTTAAAAAAAAATACTTAGTATTCTTAGCGGAAAAGGAAAATTGATAAAGACCTATTGTTTATAAACTTAATTAAGACAATTTCTAATTACAGTGATTGTTGGGAGACCAAGACCATGGTAATACCAGCCGGCTGCGAATGCATGTGGCCCCACCACAGACTCGGAGACATGACGCTGCACCTATAAGACCTAAATGAATATATGATATAATTTGTCGCGGCCACTGTATGAGTACACTCGACTACGTTAACGATATACTGATGTGCTTGTTATTAAGAACGTTGTTATTAAAATCAATTTCCTAACCAATAATTATGTTTTTTTTTCTCACCCTCTGACTAACCTAATCTTTGAAAGCGTCTTCTTTCAGAAAGTTATTTGTAGAGTGAATGTGCCTAGATCAAGCATAAAGGTCACATCTTAGCTCATTAGACCCACTCGCCACCCGGCAAGCACCGCCTCTTCTCATGCGGTTGATATATTTTGTATGGACTTCTATGGATAAACGCTCATTACATCAACCGTACCGTCACCGGGTCGCCTCGCTTGCAAGCTGTCCACGCGCGGGCGGTGGTGGACAACTCTGTAACCATTCGTTGTTCGGACGCTTGCATTGTGCTGGCCGCTAATTGTAAACACGCTGCTCCTGAGTGGACCGCGTGCTGCCTACGAGTTTACGAGTGTACGACAACGCAGCCAACTACGCAGCTACGTCACACGTCGACCACCTGATGTTCACTGGTTGAAAACGAAGCGTCCACTCGTGATGCACCAGCCCGCCGTTAGCTGGTTGACAACGCGGCGTCACTTAAATCGAACAGCGCAAATATTAAAAACTAGAACGCTACTAAGACACAAACAATCTTTTTAGGATAAGTTTATAATGCATTTTATTGCCATTTATTAGAATGTCACTGAGTGCAATCCACTAAAAGTATGTCACTAATAAATAATAAACTTCTTAACTAACTAAAATAAAAATCTTACGCCATATGTAGAATGGAACATGCATAATTCAATGATTCTAATTTTATCATTACAAAGTAAACCAGCTACAGAAATATAACATTTTTTACAGGAAACTTTGTAAAGAGCTAATTAATTCTTTGAGGCGTGACAGATCACATTGCATTGCATGCGTCATGCTAGAATCTCTTATCTATTAGACAAGTCCGTCCGTCCGTCCGTCTGTGGTGCTGTTTCAGCGGCCAAACCGTAAGAGATAGATAAAGAGAATGTTTAAGTTATATGTTAAGAATAGTCTGATAAGACTACAAACCGGATTTGAGTAACGTAGCACTTCCGGTTTTCGAGAAATCGCGAATTTCAAACGAAACCACACAAAATCTCCGAAGTTCTCAATTAATTAAATACATTATTTTTTTCTTTTTTTTAATCAGGTTTTGGTGAACATTTGGTTCACTGGTTTGCTAGTATAATCGGAATGGCAGAATCCTAAATTGAGAGTTCCACATCGCTCGCAATCGTGAAAAAATATGCATTGCACACTATTTGTGATTATTTGAAAAAAGAAATAGTCTAAGATCCAAGGATAGGTCTTCCTTCGCCCATCTGTTTACCATACGACAGGTATGTTCTATCAAGTTTTTGAAGTTATACTTCTTTATAGAAAAAATGATGAGAGTGAAATTTTAAGATGCGCGCGCATCACTGTAACACAAAATTTTAACAGCATGAAGTTGGTCTTCTGGAACTTCATGCTGTTACTTTTGTGTTCACCGCACATTAAGAAAATCTACCAACAAAATAGAATCTCTATTTAGTGGGTGCTAACGACTGCATTGTGAATGCCTATCAAAAGTATTTATTAATCTGGAACAACGGAACCAAAGCGCGATTCAGGAGACTACAGCGCCATCTCTTGACTATTGGTGTAGTAGAACCAAAAACCACATATTTATTTTTTGTAATAAAGTAACAGTTATAGGTATTCATATTTAATAATATAATTAAACATAATCATTTTAATTATATATGTACAGAAATAAATAATATTTAAATACAAATATCCTAAACCTATTTATAAATAACATCCTATTTACAAAATAAAAAATAAGTCACCCCCATCGCCGCCGTCAGGGATGGTGCCCAATAGGCTGGCAGCATTGCCACGTTGAATGGCAAGGCTGATCCGTTGACCAAGATAGCTGCCAGCCTTTTGATCACCAGTAACTTCGGTGAGTCTCTTTGATATTTCCCTAAAAAAGGAACGAGCACTTGGACCCCATGGGCCCATGGTCTCAACACCAAACGGCACAAATATATAGTTCTCATTGAGAGCTGAATATTTGCGCCGTTTAGAGCATTCAGCAGAGTCCGCCGCCGCACCCGCAGCAAGGGAGGTGCTCTCTGTGTGGCACGGAGCAAGCGTATCCGCGCAAGTTGCGTCCCACACAAGAGGGCGACCCTGCTTCCACGGAATGAGCGTCATTCCGTCAGGTCTCTTGCCATCGTCACGAAAGATGCCGCTAGGCTCAAGGACCGCTGGCACGTTGACTGCGACAAGAGCTCTGCGGATGACGTCATTGATGCAGGCGTGGCGGGAGACTCGGCCAGCGCTCATTTGGCATGAAAGACCATGGTGACCCAACTCACCGACGCGAGCACCGCAACGACAACGGTGGGGATGATTCGTCTTGACACCAAGTCGAAGCGATATTGCCAGAGACAGAGTGCTCTTGTCAAGCAAAGTCCCGATACTGGCTGAAGGTAAAGCTTGCAGCCAGTAGCCAGACTCTGCCTGAAAGACCGCTAGTAGTCGAGCACGCTCAGTGGCGTTTTCAGAAGAAGCTAAAAGGTCACTCTGAAAACGCAAACAGAGCGGCTCGTCCCACTGTCTCTGAGAAGATAGAGAGGTTGGTGGATCCACTCCCGGGCATGCCCTAGACCAAGCGTTTCTAGCCTCTGCAAGGTGAGCCAACTCCACTACACCCAAAGACGGGCATAGTATTTTACTAAAGAGCTCGGCTGTACCATATGCAGAAGATAGAAAAGCGGGAAGGGCAATATGGGAAATATGACGAGTACCTAGACCTCCGAAACGAACAGGGAGAGAGGCCTGCTTCCAAGCGTTATCTGAAAATGAACAGTTTAAAATTTTGGAGAGTGTCTCTCTGAGCGAATTGTCAATAATTGCCAGCTGTCCTGGAAAAAGCCAAAAATGAGTGCTTCGTAAAAAATATATAAATTTTGGGGCGAACGCACAAAAACGAATTAAATATAAAGCCATGTGCGGGTTAATTTTCAACATTTTTTCGGAGGAATGCTGGAATTTAGAAATTTGTTCATTAATAAAAATAGGAATAGCATCATCAAAAATCGGGGAACCTAAGAGACGGAGTGATTTATTATCAAGAATTTTGATATTAGGAGCTAAAGCCGAAAATTTTGTAACAATATGTTTTAACTGTTCAGGTGAAAATTTTGATTCTGGAATAAATAGCTCACATTTTGGAAAATTTAAATCAAGGCCAATACTTTTGAATTTATCGATAATGACGTGAAAATCTGAGAGAACCGTTGAAATATCGCCAGCGATAGTTCCGTCGTCAAGGTACCATACATTAAATTTAGAATTTAGCGAATCAATAATGGGTTGTATAGCCAAACTAAAAATAGCGGGCCCAAGAGGATCGCCTTGCTGGCAGCCAACTGATGAATACAAAAGGCTGTTTTTGAAAATTAATTTAGTAGGTTTGCTGTAACATTGCCAAAGATAGTTATAAATAGAAGGAATTTTTTGTTGAATTACTGATAGCAAGGCACCTCTATCTACGGAGTTGAAGGCGTTCTTGACATCCACCTTCAGCACCACCTCCGCTGCGTCGAGCGACAGGAAGGTGCGAAGAGCGTGCACAGCTGCTTCACAACCTCCCTTGACACCAAAACCAAGCTGAACCGGTTGGAATTCAGCTGAAACTGTCGGTAAAATGTGTTGACAACAAATTTTGGATGCTAAACGGCGAAAGGTGGAGCCAACAGCTATAGGGCGAATACCACCATCTTTTTTCTTTAAGGCAATTAAGTTGGCCCCGTAAAAGATATCAGCAATATCTTCAGGAACTTCACCGGATAGCATCAAATTAACCAGAAGAGTGATATTATGTAATAAGACTCTGCCAGCGTCACCGACAGAGACGCAAAGAAGGTCTTTTAAATGTTGTGGAGAAAGCCCATCTAGACCACTGGCAGAGCCACTTTTAAAAGAGAATATCGAATCTAAAATTTGCTTATCTTTAGTTATGAAATGAGCATGTGTTAGATCTGGTGGCGTAGGTAGAAGCAGATTTGGTGCTGGAGGTGGGTGCTTGTCTTCAAGAGCACTAAGTGTCTCCTGGCAGTAGACGGCGACAACATCATTACTGAACAGGAGGTTGGCAGCTCCTCGGAGATCACCATCGCTAATTTTGGATTCTATTAGTTTTACGGATTTATTAGAATTTGGAGGCCGAGAGGGAGGAATAACAAGAGAATAAACCGACGGATTTAAGCGGCAGTTCTCCTTTACTTTTTGGTATTCATATTTATAATATTTATTATCCACATGTTTCTAGTTTGTATATTCGGAATACGTGTTTGAGTTTCATACAAGTGCAAATCACATATGTTCTAATAAATTATATTCAGTAGCGATTTTAATTGAATATTTTGATTATTTATTTATTTTTTCAAATTAAAACTGAACTTTATTGACTGTGTCCTTTTCCAGACTTTTTATTAATTTATTGTAATTAATTATTTGCATGCAATTAAAAACTAATTTTAAACGATGCCAAAGAAGGATAACTTCTCACGCGCCTACATAAGTACACGCACCCATTTTTTTTAATCAAGAAAACAAATCGCAATGACTTGCCGGCCAAAAATTATTCATGACTATTTTTTAATTTAATAAACTTTGAGTAAAACTTTTGTTCATGTTTCACTCATGTGTTCACCGGATAATATTATAATTAATCAAAAAATGCTATACGTGGGTAATACTGAAAATGTTTAGAACTGGCCAGTTAGAAACATTGCTAATGAAAACTTATTTTAAATTTCAATTTTAGAACTCTTTGGTAACCTAATGTAGTATATTGCATTCATTTATCATTTGTTTTTGTGAATTGGCGGCAAATCTAAAACTCTTTTTTCACGTAAAAATGAACCTAACGCGAGAAAAATTTCGGTCAATGATTTATTATGATTATGACTCGTTGTGGGCTTACTCAACAACAAAGCTATGATAGGCTACGATTACCATTTCTTAATGAAGCCCCATCTCGTGCCACTATTTAAAATTGGTT